GCTAATCTGGACAACGCATCTGCTTCTGAAATTCACGAGTATTTAGTTATTTTTAATATCTTTTAACTTTGCTAAATGCTCTAGCTTCCCCCCCCCCTCAAAACCTTTTCATTCATACACTTCGAAGAGAGAAATGGGGAATCATAATCTACAGGTGAATTTGGATGCTTTGAATGAATAGAAAACACCTGCTGGTGCAGAATGCATATTAAACCGCGTCACCGGGGAAGGCCTCTTTTTTCTTTTTCTTTTTTTTTTGGGGAACCTACGAGTTGGTCAGTTAAATGAAGGCTTTTTTTTTTGTTACCCACCCAGTTTACCGGAGTTTTGTTCCGACTACATCTGGATCCGACTCGCGTCGCACAACTGGCTATGGTGGATGAGTCTTCTAACTGAAATTTCTACATACGCTGAAGTTTAAACTCGAAACCTCATTTAAGCGGTATCAAACCGCTTACTACTTGGACCAACTCTCGTTGGTAAATCAAGGCTATTTTGATGAGGGAGTGAGGACCGAACTTCATGTTGGGTCGTTTAAATGGATGGTAAGAAAGAGGTGATGCTATGCGCATCCCACATTGGGCCTTGGGGGTCTTACTTGTTTGATGCTATCATGTGAATTAGGCACGCGCTAGAGATTCCATTATTGATGTCCCAAGCAAGCGGACACAAGTTTTGCTGAAAATGGGGAAGGCCATCGCCACCTCTCCCTCGAATATTTGGAAATATGGGTCCTCTGCTGTCTTGTCTATGCAATTAAATTAAATGACACGTCTGCCCTTGTTGGATGACTTCCATTTTGGTCGTCTCTTCCTCTCTCCACAGTCAACGCCATGACGTGGCATGGTTCTTATTTCTCGACTTTGAAGCCCAAGCCATTATGGGCTTAACACTCTTCCAATAAACACTGTCCGCAGCCGGCCCAACCTAACTCCCAAAGCCTCATGATTTCTCTCCGTTGTTTTCAAGAGATATTTCTGTGGCTTGAAATATATTTTGCTTTTCACCCCTCACTTAAAACATTCAGATAATCAAACTTAAATTCTCTGTGAGGGTCTCACAAAGACACAGAGATAATCTCTCTCTCTCTCTCTCTCTCTCTCTCTCTCTGGCTCCAGATATACGCTCTCTTTATCGACTCTGTTTTAGGGGAACTGCGGAAGGAAAACGATGGAGGATTGGGGGCGGGACAATAGTTAAGTCCAAACTAGTTGGTATTATTAGATTTCGCATAGGCTTTTTTTTTTTTGAAAAAAAAAGAACTTGAAAAGGTGTGGTGAATATAAAATTCTTTGAAAAAATTCACATAATTAGGTGTTAAGAGTAAACGTACTCTTAGAAGCTCACCCATAAGAATTAATTTTACTAATTTGGATAAATTAACAAAAATTGTTAAGTTAGTTATTTATAATAAATAAGTGTTATCCTTCTGGAATATTTTTGTGATCATGTATATTAACTAAAACTATAATGTGATGAAACATTTAACATATATAATTACCACAAAGATTATTTGAAAAAGTGAATAAATATAAAAGATAAAGTGAATTAAGATTTTATATTGAGAAAATAAAAAAAAAAGACTGTCAAAATTAAAAATTACACATAATGACCTGTTCACAAAAATTATTATAAAACACAACTAATATAGTAACGGGTCCCTATTTGTAAATTTGACTGTGTTTTTTTTTGGCGAACTTATATATTTGGAGGTATCCCTCTGTCTTTATTATAAGAGACATTGATTATTATTCCTATATAAAGAGACACTTACAAGTTGTTCTACTTTTGTGTTGATTTATATTTTACCCGTTATCTCCTCACATTCTCTTTACTCTCTTTCTTTTAATAATTAATTGTTCTCTCCATGCTTCTCTCTTATTATGAGGGCATTTTAGATTATACTTTTTACACATTAATTATTTTAATGTTAATTATTTTTTTATCACATACTTCGGTTATTTGTCTCATAAGAACGGAATATTTATGTTGAGGACATTTCATGAAAGTCCGCTGAAGAATTCGTAGTCCGCAGGAGCATGATGAGAGGCGGCAGATCTTTTGCGGGGGAATACGTAAGTAATACGTCATGGTTAGAAATCAGAATGGGAAAACTGCGAATCCAAAATAAGCATCTTATTTAGAATTTTTCACAGTTTTGATAAAAACACCATGTTAGTTATAATTAAAATATTAATAACATATTAAATTCAGAGCTGATGTGTGCTGGTTAAGAGAAAGCAGAAGGAAGAATAATAATTAAAATAAGGAAATGAAAAGGGCGGAGGGAGAGGCGGGACGGACCACCACAAATGAGAAGCATACCTACCACCGCAACAGCAGCAAGACACGACGCGCACGCCAATCGTTCCCCATTTGGCATTTGTGGTCACCATCGCCTCCCTTTTCCTTCCCTTCTTCACCAAACCCTCCCATCCCATCCCACCCTTCCCCTCTATTCCTCTTTCTCTTCTTACCCTTTTCCTTTTTTTCTTTTTTTTCCTTAAATATTTATTCATCCATATATATCCTATCACTAATATATTCTGATAGTTTATTATAATTTATTCATGATCAGCATTTAATGACAACTTTCATGTTGCCTATTTGTCATTAAGGTTTTTTTTCATGATTACATGTAATATTTCCAAAAATAATCCTTTCATGATGATTCATCTACTTATAAATATCTCAGATCAAAAATAATAATAATAATTATAAATATCAAGGAGGTCACCCCTGCTGATGTGATGTTGGAGTGAGACTACTCCAGTGACTCTAAAACCCAAATCACTTCACAAATGTCCCCCTTCTATATTCTTATTCACATGATAATGCGTCATATAGAGTGTTTAATTTTTAATTTTTTTTGGGTTTGAGACACACTACCACCAAAATATTTTTTTTTTAAACACGGATTTGAGATATTTTATCCAGGCTTCCAATTTAGGATCATGAATGATAATTCCGTATTTCAGATCAATACTGTTGAAATAAAAGATCTTCTCTTATGATTTTAAAATCTATAGAAAAACAATTTTGTTAGACAGTCTTATGCATAAGAAATTATAAGATTAAAATGGAGAGAGAGCAAGGAGGCGGGGGGAGGCGATGGTTGGGATGAAAAGGCGGAAAAGGTTGGTGCAAATTAAAGCGGGGAGACGAAGAGGAAGGAAAAGAAAGGCAATTATTCAATGTTTATGGAGTTTGTTAAGTGTTGACCTTATTACCATTGGCAATATAATCAATCTTGAATCTCAGACTTGTGGGCGGTCGGTAACCATTTGTTCCTTGTCCATTACCTATATTTTGAAGCCAAGTTATGCATTCCTTCCGCTCCCCATCACTGCCAGCAAATTCAGGGTTATATATACTTCGATTTTGTTTTCCTTTTTCGGAATACAAAAGAGTCATGAACTTTAACTTAGAGGTGTTACTGAAAAATCCTTCATTACAGAATTCTTTTAGTTAGCAGGAAGCCTGAAACTAAAAAGAAAGAAAGGTGAGAAATAAGGCAGTCACAGTCTTGTCCTTCCCCTTTTTGCAGCTCCATTATCGTGCCCATTAATACAGAGATCGCTTTCGGGAGAGCAAGTTGAGGTGCCTCCACGTCGTCACGGCCCCACCGGCTGTAACTGCATTAGTTCCGTCTCCAAATTATGCACCCAATTCTGCAGCTACCAATTATGATCCCATTGCCTTCTTCTTCTTCTTCTCTCGCTTGTATATGCTCGCCCGCCACTGCTACTTTACCAGTACTGTGATGGGCTTATTTACTTGGCCGGTAACATTATGTGGGGCTGTTTTTTTCCAAAAAAACAAAGGGTAAAAAAAGAAGCAGATGCTGCCGGCTGATGAATACATTGTCTGCCCTTCCAAAATTATCCCGGCAGTCGAAGCCCTGTCCTATTTATTTGTACTCCATGTGCTCACGGGAAATGCATGCTTGTTAAGAATATTATTATATTCTACTTCATTTTGTATGCCGGGCCAATTTCAAACCAATACAATCACGCAGCAAACTCCTTGTATGGCGACGTTTCACAATTATATATGTATATATATGACATGTAGTAAAATATTATTTTGTTGTTAGCGTAGATGAAGAACTCAAAAAAAGTGTCTTCCTGTTCACCAGAAAAAATAAGAACAGGGTGTCTGCCTCACATGTAGGCAGAGCGACGCTTTCAAGTGGTGACAAAGAGAAGTGGATGGCAGTGTTGGGGCAACGAGGACAGTGAGCGCGTAATCGAACCCGACTCCCAGATCCACGTCTTATTCCATTATTACATTTACCCGCCGCCTCCACTAAAATAAAATCACTCTTAACTCCAGAACACCAACATGATTCGCGGGCAAACATGTGCGTGAGAGCGTGAGCGTCTGACATCGGTAACAAGACCCATGAGCTCAGTGGCGAATTATTGTGTCCAACCCAAAATGAATTACGTTATTATTATATTGAAAGACAGAAAAAGGAGGACACCGCGCGCAAGACGTGTATACAAGCCAGGTGATGAAGTAGGGGTTTTTAATTTATCCTGGCCCTTTCTGGCCTGGCCTGAATTTAACACGATTGAGAGTTAGGATTATCACTATATATCCCACAGTGATAACAATACAATAGAAACATATAAAAAAACAAAAACCTACGCTCAGCCGGACACAAGGTTATGAACACCTACTCTATAGGCGGCTCAAAACTCAGATCACACAACCAACTAACGGGGCATTCAATCCAAGTATACACACTAAATCACCATGGCACTGGGGGTAGGTAGCTGCCACGTTCGTCGCTCGCCAGAAACTTTTGAATCACATCACATCGTCTCTGTACAATGGACATCCCCCTGCCACCAACCGCAGGGGGTTGCCTTCCTATGCTTCTGCTTTCGCAAATTAACTCCTTCCCTCGAATTTAACCATCATATCATTACAGTTGGCAAAAAAAAAAAAAAACCATCATATCATTACAGAATTATAAAACTATAACAACGCCATCATTCCAATTTTTTTTTGTTTGCCTGAACACCGCCATCATTCTAAATACGTATACAGTGCAGCGAAATAGAAACTGATCTTTATTGCCCTTTTTCTTTGTTTGTCTTCCTTCTCCTCCAAACGGCATCGTATCAGAGGCTTTGCAAATCTTGCCGGCCGCAGGAGGAACTCAGCGGAGTCATGTCCATGGGATAGCTGCCCAGTACTCTCAAGAAAGAAGTAAACTCCTGCACCTCTGCCAAGGCGTTCTGGGCCCTCACCTCGGCCATGGAAGCTTCAAAATCCACGTAGAACAAGTATTCGAAGTGCTTCGCAGTGCCCACATTGGCGTCATCCACTAGCCTGATCGGACGGTTCCGGTGAGGCCTGGACTCGATCTTCGTCAGGCTAATGTTCCTGAATGCGAACGCCGACAACACCTTGAACAATACCGACGTCCCTTTGTCGTGCGCGAACACTATGCTCGTCTTGAACGGCCTGTCCGTACGGGGAATAATCGGTTCTCGGGCAAGCATAACAAATCGGGTCACATTCCCCGGATCGTCCTGGATCCCGTCCGCCAAAACTTGCATTCCGTACAGCTCCGCGGCACGCGCGCTCGCGATTGCCGCCGTGTCGCGGAGGTTGTTGGTGGCGATGAACTCCGCGGCACCGGCTGTATCGTCCACGGCTTCACGTGCCACGTTGAGGCCGAGCTTGGTTAATGTGTGCTCGCACTGAGCCAGGGCTTGGGGATGCGAAATCACGCGGGTCAGGTACTCTTTCCGGACTCCAGGGAGAGCAAGAAGGCAGTGATGGACCGGAAGTTGGACTTCGCCGACGATGTGGAGACGATGGCGGAGGAGGAGGTCGTAATTCCTGTGGATTGAACCGCCTAGAGAGTTCTCCACGGGGAGAACTGCTCGATCGGCGATCCAGAGCTCGACGGCCTGGAAAGCCACCTCGAATTGATCGCAAGGAATGGCTTCGCAGTTGGCATAGGCCTTGGCGGCGGCGGCTTCAGAATACGCTCCAGGAACCCCCTGGTAAGCGACGCGAAGCTGTGAGCCGTGCATCGGAGCCGGCGAGAGGTCCGAAATCGTGAGAGGCTTGGGCGGAAGAGGCCTGTTATTGTCGGAACCGGGTATGTTATCGATGGGAACCAGGCTGAGATCCGTGAGGGCGGAAGTGTGGCCGTTGACGGTGGGGGCACCGTTATTACTGTCGGGGGAGGAATGTTGCTGAGAGACAACCTTGCTGGCCAAAATGGCGCAGGAGCTCTGCCAGTCGGTGCGGTTGGAGGAGACTCCATGGGAGAAGCCGGGAGATTCGAAGCCGTAGCTGCATTTGACAACAACGGGGGAGGGAAGGGGGCGAGTGGGGATCGGAAATTGAAGAGAATGGGAAGGGGCGGGGGAGAGAGAGCGCATGTCGAAGATATGAGGAGGGAAGTGAAGAGGAAGCAGAAAGGAAGGGAGCGAGCGGAGCCAAGCTTGGTGTTCTCTTGAAACAAGGGAACGTCAAGCTGAGAGAAAGAGAAGAGGCTGAGGGCTTTAAATATAAAATGGGGAATATGAGAAGAAGCCAAGGCGAGCAGAGGAGGAGCAGGCATCCCAGAGGCCCCGTGCTTTCACACCACTTGTGGTTTGGTCAATCCCACACCTACCCCGCCCAGCTTTCCCTCCTTTTGGGTTAAAACATGTCATCATATTACTAATTACTCCCATTATTACGAATACTAATTACTAATCTTATTAATATTAATATCACACGAAACCAAACCCAAAAAACCTAACCTTATGTTCCCTGCCCTATTGAACCTCATTGATTTATTATAATTAATGTTATATTGATTTTTGTTAAGAGTGTGTTTAAAAAGTTTCTCAATTTTTTATATATATTTAATGTTTAAGCCAGTGAGATGATTAAACAGTTAATCATATTTCTTCATTTCCTAAATTTGGCACTCTTTGGCAACGTCAGGTGATCTTGACACCAGAAAATTTTCTCAAAGATGATGCGTTTGAGTTGGGACACGTACGCCGCCAGTTGGGCCCCTATGTGACAAATGAACACGTGTGTCTAAGTTCAGTGCCAACTAAACTGAACGCAAGGCACGCGAATGGACCCAATTGTTTGGATACCAAACTCTCTCGCCTTTCCTGGGTTACCAATTAACCCCCCAGTTCATTCCCCAACTGAATTAATTATTTAATCATCTTTTTATTTAATAGTAATTTGCACAGCCTATATGCAAAAATTGGCGATTATTTTAAGAATTCGCAAATGAATAAAACAAAAGGTGAGTGACAGAAGCTTTCTAGTTCTCGAAGGACGCCTCTTATTTCAGAAAAATCCATCATACAACGTTAAAATGACTAGTTTTATATTGACAATATTCTTCGTGTGATTTTATATTTAAGACTAGACTTAATACTTTCTAATGAGTATATAGAGGAGATATTTTTAATTTTGCACTGATGGTGTTAATTAGGAAGAAATAGATTTTTTCCCCCGAATTTTAAACTTATTTTAATGAGGTAACTAATTTTCAATGATCTTTATGAGAGAGATAAAATTGGTCTATGTTTGGATCGAGAGAGAGTAGATCAAAATATTGTGGGGTCGGTTTCTTTTTTTCTTTTTTTTTTTTGGGTGTGTGTGTGAACGAAAACGCGACTTCCACTGAATAAGAAATGAAGCGCCTCTGATGGATTGTGGTAGGGAAGAAAAGCATAGAAGATGCTCCACCAATCATTCGGAGCCACGCGGAGCATTTGGAATTGGGGGCAGTCATCATACGTAGAATCATTGTCTCCCAACCCTCTTTACCAAATACTATATTCTCCGGATGGTTGCGAACTATCACGAACATTCTTATCAGCATCATTAAAACCCAATTAAGATAAGTATTTTCTTAATCTTATTCGTGCATACCGGGGCACAAAGCTCTCTTTGTTATGAAGTTACCATCAGCCCAAAACTTGTATTTAGTATTATTTATCTAATTAAATGGTGTAAGCTGCAAGGTCGAGTAATTACATTATTGAGGCTTAACACTTTTTGTTTGACAATAAAAGCTAGTTGTTAGTCTTTCTTCTGAAACGTGATAATATTAATAAAAGTAATTATCAAATATATTTTCTAGACTCCAAATTGTATGGGAAATCAAATCAATATTAATATCGCATTAATATATAACCCATATACAATGACAACATTCGCAGGTTATATACGTTGGCAGCCTACAAGGACCATGGATAATTTCTTGTCTTATTATACATTTCATACAATTCCATACAAGATTGTTTTTTTATTATTGTTTTAATATATACTCCTCCGGTCTTTAATATAGGACCTAATTGTTGAGTTGGTTTTGGTCCTAAATATAAGACCCATTTCTTATATTTATCAATGTTCTCTAAAGTACCCTTATGAATACTCCCTCAACCATAATCAAGTAAAAGGAGGAGAGAGGGTATTAAGAAAGATGATTATGATGTTTTAGGAAAAACGTGTCACATTTCTTATAATTAACTAACTTCCTTAATTTAATCAAATTAGTTAAATAGGTCTTATATTAAGGACCAGAGGAGTATATATTTTTGCCTGAATATATATAATGTTACACATTTCATTAAAATTTATGCTTTGAAAAACAAAACAATACTCCATTCGTTTCTTATTATACGAGACATTTGATGCTTATGGTATGTTCCTATATATAAGAGACACTTAAAAGTTGTTTCTACTTTTTTGTGTTGATTTCCTATTTTACCCATATTTATTGTCTCTAACTCACACTCTCTCTCCCTCCCACTTCTCTTTCTTTTAATAATTTAATTGTTTTCTCCCATGCTCTCTCTCCTTATTAATGAGGGTATTTTTGGAAAAAAAATTGTACTTTTTACACATTGATTGTTCTTAACTAATTTTAACTGTTTTTTTTATCAACGTAATTTAGTTATTCATCTCTTATAATAAGAGACAGAGGGAGTATTATAAACATGCTTGATTTATTTTTCTGGTCCCGTGGACACCACAAATTCGAAGGTATGTTTGAGATAGATAACGATCTTTACTCTTTTTGGCTGAAAACAAAAGAGCTTTACTCCATCCTTTTTTTCATCCTCTCATTCTGTTCTTTTTCAAAATCTGAATCGGAAGAGTAGACTTCTTCCGTCTTTATTTAAATATCTGCTGCACGAGGGGCTGCGAGCTGTAATGGAGCTTGGACGCACACTTCTGAGCACGATTACTAAATCATTTGAATCTCAAGCTTTGAACAACATACAAATTACCAAATATAATTTACGCTGAAATTCGTCTGCCTAATGATAGAAAGTTAAATCTAAGACGATGAAGTTGCATCCAACAGCAAAAGAATTGAACTTTAAAATATAATATTATATATACACCGCCAGGATGATGAATGAAATCCCGCCACAAAGCAAGCAGGGAGATTTTGAAGAAGGAATGAAAACTACGTACATGGTTAATCTAGCGAGTGACAGCCGGAATCAGATCCATCTTGAATCTCAACGGACACAAAATATCTCCACCACAAAACCTATTTTACTAAGACATCTCATCCTGCGTCAGAAATTTCCAGAAAGCCATATAGATATGAAATGAAGATGTCGTGAGAATGGGTGTCCCTCGAAGAGGACGTGATTTTGATGAGCCAACAAATATGGCGCCTCAGAGCCCAACCCATTTCACCCACCTGAAAACTTTGCCAACTCGGAAGGGCAATCCATAGTCTTTAGCAACAGAAGGCTCACTTCTAGCAGCCTCGGCTTCAGTCCAATCGTACACCCCCCGTTCTTGCCTGCTCCCAGGTACTGTGTTATCCAGAATAACAGCCACAACAAACGCTACCACCATGTGTTGTGATAAAAGCGTGTTCCCCACATAGTTCAACTGCCAAAACAACATATTAACTCATTTCTCACAGTTTCTGATGAACTCCAAAGTACAGTCACTTTTAATCAACCAGCATTCAGTTCAAGTTCTAAAATAAAACGAAGATCATGAGAATAAAGCTAATTCATTTACATTCATTAACGAGTTCACTGTTTCACCACGTCCTTACTCGTATCTTTTAGTTTTACCTTGTAGAAGGAAATTCACCTTTAGAAATGAAGCTTCCCATATCACCATTAAATAAGAACTTAGTCTCAGCTGTCTTCTGCGAGATCATGGAGATTTTACCAAGCTTGATCACAAGGTAACTTTTCTTTTCCCTTTTTTTTTTTTTAAAAAAAATGGAAGATCAATATCCTATCTAACATCATCAGAACCAAACAAAAAGAATTCGCTACAGAAAAAGGACATTACAGGATAACACGAAAGACATACCCCTCCGGATCTGCTATGAAAAGGCCCGTGGGAAGCCACAATATAGGGTTGAAAATAACTTGGCACGGACATGTTGGAATTTGGAGCTATACCATATTGTTGAAAGTAGGCAGGTATGGAGAGAGAGAGAAACAACGACAACCCAATAATAATCACATTGCGAGAGCTTCCAGCTTCACTATAACGTAGATTTGACAAGCCCAGAGCAGCGAGCATTGCGCACATAAAGCACAAAAGAGCAGCAACTATCACGTCAGGAATTGAAGCAATCAACCCCCCAACCTTGCCTGTTACATAGCATCAATATGTTCAAACGATGATATTAATCGAGCTCAGAATTGTGAATTTGAATGGAAAAGTCATTCAAATAATTTTTCATTCAAATAAATGCTTCCCTCGTCCTCACGAGGTACCCATTCTCAGTATCATTGCAAACACCATAAGTTTTGCTGAATTTCGCAAGAGAAGAACCTCTTACTCAAAATAATTGGATAGAGTACCATAGATCAGTTGAAGATATTCTTACAGTGGAGGAAAACAAATTTACAGGACAAATCCAAGGATAAGATTATAACATGCGTAGAGTGAGCGAGCATGTTAAATAAAGTCATAAATCACAATAGGTAACTGCGAAAACCGAAACAAGATAAACACTTACCCACAAGAGACAACACTATCAGAAAGCAAGCACCCAATTCAACTGCCCTGCGGCTTCCCATTTTAGTCACAGCAATTGTGTGAACATTTTCTGTTAGTGTGGTAAATCCAGTTCCAGTTCCCCAGAGGCCAGCCAATAAACTAGAAAGTCCCTCCAAACCAATTCCTCGACTAAGAACTCCAGGAGTTGGAGGCTTGGATGCTACCAATAACGAAGATGCATGATAGGAACCAACCTGAAGAGTCAAAGCAAAGGAGAATGAAAACAATATAGATTGATTCAATAATAGTAGTATATGGAGAAAACTGCAACAAAGAGTCCGTCACTTCAATTCAGGGACCAAAAGTGATTAAATTTGAATAATTTATAATAATAGCACAAGCAAGGTAGAATAAAATAAAAACACAGGAAACATAAAAGGAAAAGACAATGAACCCACCGAATCAACTGATGAGACTAAGGATACCACACACATAACAACAGCCACTTTCCAGTGGAAGATTGGAGTTCCCCATTGTAGTGGATAAGGAAATCTAAACCATGGGGAAGATTTCAATGCGTGAGAAATATCAACTCGACAATACTGCGTCCTCAGGACGTGGTTTCTGCAGTGGTCTGATACCATATTAGAGGCAGGTATGTTTATGTCACAGCCTTTGTAGCTATAAGCTCCTGCTTCAGTCAACAAGAAAGCAATTGCCCATGTGATTGCCAGACCCAAAGGAACCTGGTAGTGAGGTGACATAAAAATGTCAAACTTATGAGAATTATTTCGTGAAACAAGATAAGTCAACTACTAAAGAGCATCTAATTTGGAGCAATAATATTGAACTTACTGCAAATATTAGAAATGTACGGTGACCAAGAACAGATATCTTGCGTAGATGCTGAAGATACAGAGAAAACAAGTTTTTTAGCATTTTATAGCAGTGCAATGGAAAAGGCCTCACGTAGGGTAGGAATTAAGAAGCTAGAAATTAGAATGTTGATAAAAGTTAAAGTTCCATTTCCACACTTACAAGAGAAAAAACAATAACTACTAATATCTGTACTACACCAATCTCGAGGCATTTGCCAAGCACAGGAAAACCATAGCTGAAAAACGAAAGTCCAACAGCAGCAATGGTTGAGCACACAACCACAGGATTGATCAACCTGAAAAGAAAATTCAGAGCGAGGCTGTTATCAATTTCAATGAACTCTTAGGATACAATATTTCCTCCTAAAACACTAATAAACAAATTTCTTCAGGAGATAATTGAAGTGGTCTCCCCAAAAGATATTTTGAAGGGCCACCACATAAATCTCCGTTCAAAAGTTCAGGCCCCCGTATGAACCTTTTCTGACATTTAATCAATTACAGGGCACATTCGCAACTAAAAACCTTGCAATCATGTCTTTCCTTATTTCTTGTAGTCACGACAATTGTAAGTGCTGTTGGGCAAAAACATGAAGCTGGCACTAGTATTAAAAGAAACAGATGAGCAATAAAACTACAAAACCATACCGTGCTAACAGTGTCATGAGTCCAGTATATCCAAGTAAAGCCTGAAAAGCTGATCCAATAATAATAGCACCTTGTAGTTCTTTCATTATATGCTTGAATTTCTATAATTTAAGAGAGAAGTCAGTTATCTTGCATTCAGTTAGTTAATCATAAAATTGACGGTATGCGATGGAAACTGAGAAGAGCACTAATATAACTTGTGATATAAATTGTTGCGAGAGAAAACAATATGGTTAGAGTGAACCACAATAATCAAAATCATATCGACAGCATCAAATTGGAACGGAGGACCTACATTTTCATTCAATCCCTGGAACTCCGGGGAGTTGATTATTGCCAGTGCTGGAGCCAGATAAACAAAAGAAGGGCCCTGTACAAGGGGCAACCTGGACCCAAAAGTAGTATGCAAAAGTGTGCTCACTCCCGACATGAAGAGCACTGTAGATATCACCGCAGAAGTATCCTCCTATAGCCACTAACACATCAGACGGCAATATGCACATAATTACTGGCTACAAACGAGATGTGAAATGAAGAACAAAAAGAGTTATTTACAATCACTCACTTGAGTGCCCCCCATGGCAGGAGCGATGACGAGAGGAATGACAATCAACGAACCTAACATTGAGATGTAATGCTGCATACCGTATAGACCAATGGGAACTACAAAACCGGGGGAAAAGTATCGGCATATTTCAAACTCTCAGCCGTAGGGAGAGATAATCTCATTATCTCATAATTCCATCATAATTTCAAGTCGTGATGAGTTAGTTATTCAGTTAGCGACTGAAAAAGAAAGACAAACACGTCTTACCAAGACCAGGGGAATCCCGGAGCTCATATTTCATTCGCGACCGCTTTGACGCTAGCCCATTCTCTCCTACAGACTGAGGCAAGACATCGATCACTTGCTCGCGCCTTATCGAACTCCGCGGCCTCGACGACTTGTCCACCGGCTTTACTGGTGCCTGGGCATTGGTACTGGGAACCGAGCGCGTAGGCGCTTCGTCAGGATCCCTGAACTTCACCGTGTGTTCCTTCTTTGGCGGCGGTTCAACCTTCTCACCTCCGGCCTCGCCTTTCCCGGCCAGCGATGACCTCGCCCGACCCGCTTCAAGATCCGGGTTGGCTGGAGCCTCTCTTGGCTTGGGCTGCAAGGTTATCTGACCAGAATCGCTGGCATTGGTCTCGCCGGAGAACTTGGGCTTAAACCCGGTCCTCTTAGCCCAAGAAGACGGTAGTGTTGCCCTGGTATCGGGCTCCGGCGGCCGCGGACCGGGAGGCTGACGGGTGCTGGGATCGGATATTGACATTTAACAGCAAAATATACTAGCTGCGTTTAGCTTGTGTATGCCTGCGGATCTGATCACTTTGGTAAAGTCTTGCAGAAATGCACATGAAAGCCACAGAAATGAAGCTCCACTGAACTCGTGGGTAATGCCGTCGCGCACATGCAGTTGTACAGAAGGATTGATCGCGTGTTGGAGTTGACAAGGAGATGGAGAACTGATGAAACGAGAAGAGTACAGAAACGCGTGCGAGAGTGAGTGAACTGCTACTCAATCAAATTCCTTGATATATGCAGCAATCTATCAATTTTCTTGGTTGCGGAATATTTCCTGTTTAAAAAAGTATCCGCTAATTGAAGATATTTACAGTAATCCCATTGACCCTCTTAAATCATGCCGGAAAAAATTAGAGGTTTCGCTGGATGAGCAATGAGTTTAGAATAGAATTGTGCGGGGTTGAAAAATAGTAATATTTGCTTGTTTGTTTAGGAAATTTAATTTAAATTACTATTGCAAAATATGCAAAGAATTAATTTTCAAAATTGTAATTGTAGATGTAAACCACTATCGCTGTTATAAAACATTATGAACAATCATCGTCAATTCGTCATCATCAGATATTAAGGATTTTTAATAAATTAAGAAACATGGTTACATTTCAAGAGAAAATTGAAGTCTTTTTAAGTGTCAATTTAGAAGATAAAAAAATATTTTATATTTTACGACTCAAATTTTTTTATATATTTATCTTAAACAACACAAAATTACGTAAAATATTATATTAATCGGAATGTGGCTCAAAAAGATTTACAAAGAGTTAAAAAAAATTAATAAGAGTAGTTGTCCTAATTTCATATGTTCTTCAATAAATGTGTGTTGGTTGTTGCCGAAGTTGTTGAAATCGTTTTTGGCTAAGGAACTGGATAACGAAAAGGGGTCACTTTCCATCTCATGAACAACACACATGGTATTAGCAGAGCAATATTGAATGGTCAGCCAATAAAGGTGCATGGCAAATATCGGTGCTGTTTTTGTTGCGATATTTTGGAGAGAAAGATTCGCCGCAACGAATGCTTTCCCTGCTACTCCTGCATGCGCAGTGCGAACCAACCTAATTATTTGGCTGCAATTTTTAGTTGAAACGTCCTTTGCATTCCCCGCCACTTGCCGCTTTTTATTCATTAAACACCCCACTCTTCACTTCTCTTTTTATACCATTTAAACCTATGTGCACAAACATATTAACACCGAGTTCAAACTTAAAATATTATCCAATGTCATTGTGGCAACTCACCACTGACAACTTCACTATCCACTCGCCGCACCATGAAAGCTAAGCTTCTCTTGCTCTTCATATCTATTCCTCAGGTTTACTCTCTGTATCAATGTGTGTAAGACGCTACTGGCATTTTAGCCAAATACAGGTGAAACTCTGGCAACAAAAAGGAAGTTTGCCTGAACTATATTTACTGTAAACTCACAGACTGAATTTATCTTTGCTCGCTCTATCCTTATTTAAAGCAAGTTTAGATTTTTTTTTTTTTTACCTGAAAAGCAAGTTTAGATTACTTTATAAATTTATTTCATTGTTGCCGTTGAGTTGGGTTGTGTGGGGGTCATTGGCCTTTTTGGCTGGCAGTTTAAATTTTTGGTGGTTGCATGAATGAGATGGATTCGGTGCTCCATGCATGCATCGATAATGACTGATTTGATAGCCTTCAAAAAACTTTTTCAATTCAATTATGGCAGTATGTATGGACAGGAAAACCCAGAACTGATAATTCCATGCCATATTTAGTCTGCCCATTATTAAAAAAAAAAAATTCAAGTTATATGCAACGAGATTATTGTTGGGAGGTTTTTGAGGAGATATGCACGCATGCAGTATAGCAGAACTGAAAAAAAAAAAAAAAACAGGGAATTTCATGATCAGTGTGATACACAAAACAACAAATCCGTCTCTATCTGGTGTGCAAGTTGGTACTTTTGTTTCATCCCATCCACAGTCTTTCCATTAGTCCCCTGATTGCCTGGTCCCGAGGTTCCAAGTTCTTGCTTATTTTCCTTAATTCCTGTGTTTCATGCGTGATTTACTTATTGATATACAGCGTCCTTATATTCTTTGAATAGACACAAGTTAGAAACTACTTTATTCCATTAAATTGGTATGAAAGAAGGGGCGGAGGTACTGAAGATGAATTTTTTCCCCCTCTTCGTCTTTTTTTCACATTTCGTTATATATTCCTTATTCTTACAGAAAAGAAATAAAAATAAAATTTTGACTTGATTAATAAACTTTATTAAACTAGTTACTTGTAATAAATATAGGTTGAATTTTCTAAAACATTTTTTAATTATGACTACTTTTAGATGAAAACTTCTTTATAAATTTAAATGACAAAATAAATTGAGATATTATATTTAAGATTAAATATAATTCTTATTCTTTGTATAAAAAAATAAATACAATTCTTATTGGTTAGGGCGGCGGCAGTAATAAAAAGTGAAATGAGTGAGTGTGGGGGCGCAAGGTACTGTTGACAGATGGACGATGGAGTGGAAGTGGGACTCGCTCACAAGCTTATCGCGGAAGCCATAATTATCTGCCCCCATTTTTTCTCATTTTCTAATTACTGGGGGGGAAAATACAAAAACAAGAAACAAAAACAGAGAGAAGAAGAAAGCAGGTGGAGCAAGCAACGGCTAGTTTTTTGGAGGTCCATTTCTGATTCCTGTCTGATCCCCAGCTAGCCGTTTCGGGGACGAAAGCGATTGCCCCTCGCGCTGTCCCCGCTTCCTTTCCATTATTGTTAATTATTATTTTTACTTTCTTCTTCTAATGGCTTAATAATACCAAAAGAATATTGGAAGCCGTATAAAGTGATTTTACTTCTTGCCGCCTCTCGATTTATTTGTGTGTATATGTATAATAAGGTATAATTTTTTTTCTAAAACATAAGTATCTTTCTATTTGAAACAATCCTATTCGAGACATTATCGAGTATTAAATGTAGATACCTCTCTCATTAGGAATTCAAACCTTGATTCGCTACTTTTTAAGAGACTAGTCCCCTGCTACGCCCAACCCTCATTGGTAGTACAATTTATTATTAGTAATTATTAAAGTTAAATAACCAATCGACTCATACGAATTCATAATGCGAAAACAGGGAACCACGAGCACGAAATGCTAAAACAGGGAACCGCGAGCACGAATCCGTATGAAAGCACAGTTTGGCGCCCGGATTTTTAGTGCCCCAAAATGGGCTTCTTCTTCTTTTTTTTGGGGGCATCACACTGGGCTAAAGTTTCCCGAAAACGACGCTTGTGGGTTTTCCCCATCAAAAGAGACTTGCGGGCTTAAGTATGAAGCCCGACTCAAATTTTAATTGGGTCTCGTTAATATGCTACTCCTGAAAGTGAGGTTTTCAGATCACCAAGTTTAACCAAACCTGGTAAGAGTGACTGAACCGAATTAAACAGGGTATAAAAAACTTGCGGTCACAAGGAGCAGAGGCACAAAAACTTACTCGATTTATTTAGGCTTGATTCATTTGGTTGGTCCGAGTTAATTAGGCCTTTTTTGTTTTTTGGCTTTTTGTTAAGATCCGAGTCAGCAAGCAGGGAAAAAAACAGCACAAGAGATAACACGCAGCTGCAGTTCAATGCGACAACCTTACCTATTCTCATCTGACCAGCACATGATGTCTTATACCGGTATTTTGAAGCCTCTTACACCTAACTAGAGATAGGTTTATCAGTCCAATTCATAAGAAGTCAATGGCTTCATGTGTGATATTTATAAAGAAGGGAGTTGTTTGGTGTGCACACATGATAATATAGTTTTTGTCTTCATGATGGTTTGTGAGAGAAACTGTGGGAAGGAAAGCATCAATTCTAAGTGTCGTTTTCGTCAATTAACTCAATTTCCTGTTACTAGAAAATCGCCCCCACCAAACTGCAAGAAGCAACTTAATAATCCCATCATAGTCTGAACATGTTTGTTAAATGTCTCTTAAACAACCATTCATTCATTAACTGAACATACAGTACCTTTGTTATTTCACCTGCAGGGTAATTGGCATCAGATATTTGTCTGATCTTTATGTGGGTGCTAAATTGCTTTCGTTGGTCCTTTTGGTAGTTGTTTTGATGAGGTTTTCTTGATTCTTCCATTGCTCGTTGTATTTCGATTCTGTATAATGAAATCATAATATTTCACGTTAAAAAAGATTGGATTCGCACACACTTAAGTAGATGAGATGTCGTTTTACTTTTATTTGTTAAATTATTTTATATTGTGTGCATTTAATGAAGCTGTCGGCAGTGTGAGGAAGACCCGCTTCACATGGATCTTGGCTAAAAGTAAAAATAAAAAAATAGTTTGAGAGTTTGGGCACCTTGGCTTTGTCTTTGGATTTTGCTTTGCCCTTTATCTGTTATCATTTATCTTTCAAAAGAACAGAAATTGAAAATAGTTGTTATCATTCCTGGGTTGGTTGAAGAATGAAACATGTACCGACATTTTCATATAAAGAGGGAAGATCTAATTTGCTGTTGAAAGAGAATGATGGTATATGAGATTTGCAGAAGCAACCAAACATCCTTTAAATCTAATTCTGACCAAAAGCCAATTATTCTGCTGGCTCCTCTTATTAGTTTACTGCACTTGACAGCGATGATTCTACATGGCTAGTTTCTGAATTCCCTCTTTTTCAGAGTTAAAAGTTAGAAAACAGTGCCTTAATATAATCATGATGCCACTAAGCTTGTGATCACTAGCAAGAGTGTAACTCAAGCTACGTTAATATGAAGAAAATGCCTAGAAAAGTGCGTTTCTTATCAACCTATTTTAATTTTTCCTTTCAGGAGATACTGATGCAGGTTTACTTGTCCGCTGATATGGGTTTTAGTACAGGATTTACAGTTGTTCTTTTGTTTCAATAGGTTCTACTATATGTACACTTTTTTTTTTTTTTTTTGTGCTTCTAGATACTTTTTATATTGTTTTGAATATCAATAAAAATGATTCTTTTTCAGAAGAAGGGGAGAAATAACTCTCGGATGCTGCCTCCAGGATCCACCACCCCCTTTTCTGGGGGAAATGTTGCCTGAATTTGAGACCTTCAGCCATAAAGATAGGCATTGATGAGTACTATAATTTGAAACCGAAGGGTATTCAATGAAATTCTAATATTGTTACAAGTCTACTAGTATTCATGTGACTTGGCGTTAATAATCTAACATTGTTCAACAACAACCACACGGATCAGAATTCACAGTTCCACTGTATTATTCAGTGGATGAGATATTAATTTAAAAACGTTCCTCATGGATGAACCATGCGAACTACTTGTTCTTAACTCAGCTTACTTTTTGACAGCAGTTTAATAACTAATAGAATTACTTTTTTTTCCCCTCCAAGTTGTGATAAGAAAATTACGTCAAAACAATGGGCACACTTAAATCTTTGTCCCAAGTCGTGGCATGTGTGACTGATCTGTGATGCTTATTAATCATTATGAAGTATCGCCTGAGAAACAGCTGACCACAAGGTTTGCAAGTCTTCTTTTCTTTTCTTTTTTGCCGTGAGTAGCAACTTGTTAAGATGCACTTTCTAATATTGCTTGTGGAGGAAGGTTAACCGTTTGGATTCCCCTCGAAGCCTTTATTTATGAGCTGTTCCCTGGAGTTCCAAGAAACAGTACGGCACACAAGTTTGAATGCGAATTTGTCCTAATTTTGTCAATTAAAAAGGGTGTTTGTTTGGAGACAGAATTTCTCGGAATTGCATACTGCCAACACACAACAATTCCTTCCTCTTGTTTATATGTGTGCACTTTTAGATTAATATCGCAAACCAATGGGATCCAACCCATCTTCAAAGGCACTGACTGGCATAAGATTCTCAAGAACTGAGTGCAACTAAATGAATAAAGAAACTGCCAAGTTTGGATGGGCTAAAGAAAGGATTATAACTTGGAATCAACATTTTGACGTCTGAATCGTATTAAGCATTGGCAAGTCCCCTCCATAAATAGATGTGTAGTGGTATAGGAACTTCCAAAAGGGGAAGATCCAAGACAAGAGAAGACAGGCTAGCTATAGTTGCCAGGGGCCTGCCCGGAATTTGCTGCATTCGTGGCTACGAATGAATGAAACACATGTACTTTGACTTGGAACGAATCTTTCTGTTCTATCATATGCGGGGGAAGTTAAAAATGTTGTTGTCGAAACTCAAAGCAAGCATGTCTTCTCGCTTCCCCCTTGTATTCAAATTACGATCAAATTAACTGATGGATCTAAATAATTTACAAAGTTGTCATCATATACGTGCATAGAGTAAGAGTTGTATAATTTTAATCAAGGTGTAGCTTTGGTCGTACTCATTCAATAATTTTGAAAAGAACCGCGATGGGACAAACAGCTTGGGAAAAGACAGTATATGATGGCATTTGGAACAGATGAGGCGATGGAGGCTCTAAGTACAGTTGGTGAATGAATGGGGATGGTGGGCTAGAGAGAAGAGGGAGAGGGCACTGTGGAAAAGGCGGATGGATTGGATTCGTAATATGATTATTGAAGGAAAAGGGTATATCTATTTGGGGGCGGGGCCGCTATTGATGTGTCCCGTCTCATGCCCACAATGGCTTCCCACTCTCACACTCACCGTAATGATTCCCCTTCGTCTCTGCTGTTTGTTCTGCTTGTCTATCATAGATTCTTCATTTGAATGCTTTTTTTGCCAACTGCCTTGTAGTTTAAGTGTCATGAATATTTCTTTAGATTTTTTTTTTGGCGTAAGTGGGAACTTTCGAGTTGGATTCTGTTTATAATCTTAAGCAGTTAATAACTGCTTCTCTAATTATTATTTTTTATTTAAAATCCTCTTTTATCCCCTGTTCCTCTCCCCACACACATTCAATTTGAGGTTTCAAATGCTGCCTCATCCTCCCTAATTTTCTGTCCCCTCCCTTAGCAATCCCTTTTTTTTTTCCCTTCTCCTAATTATTCTCTGTGCCGCCCTGTTTTTCGATTCTGCTCTAGTTTGGTTGTTTAAAAAAAGGCACTAAAGAATGTAACTGTTGAGTGTTGACCAAAGCTTTAATAATTCATGAGCCAGCACTACTTCTAACATTTTCATGCTTTTTTCCCCTATACCATCACTAATTAATGAACGTAGCATAATTGGAAGCACTAAATAAGATAGCTACGCTCTGACATTAAATACTTTCTTTTGATTTTTGCGAATGAAAGTCACTAGATAATGTATTATGGGGGCCTGCTTTTAATCGCTCATCATGTGTTGGGGGGGGGGGGGGATAGGAGTTGGTGGCTCTTTGGGCCTTTATTTATTTTATTGGTCCACTCTTCACTATCACATTTTCTTACTTCCCCTTCGTCATTGTCATCTAAATTCAAATGCAGCGAACGCCTTCTTCTTGTTTTTTTTTTTGACCTGAACTCTTCAAATGCAGCGATCGCCTTCTTCAACCTTGGAACTCTTCATCTCTGAACAACCGAAACAACCCAAGGGACTCATTTCTCCAAAAGTTCAGATCTTTACGAGTTTTCTGCAAAATGAGAGACTTGGTCTCTTGTTTCAGCGAGAACGCAGTTGGTGTATCTCATTCTTCATGTTCTAGCTATTCCAAAAATGCTTGCATCTCGCCCACTCTCTCACCTTCAACCCAAAATTCAGTCTCCTGCGTCTACAAAATCGTCCTCTCTACGCAGAAGCAGCTGATAATCACAGTCACATGGTGTAGAACCCACTCGAATCAAGGATTTAGCTTGAGCTTCGGAGATGAGGACCCTACAATTGCAGCTGCAGCATTCAGACTCAACACAAATTCACGATTCTTCAGGAAGAAGAAAGGAAGCAAGTTTCTCGAATCTGACGACTCAAAGATCGAAATCATATGGGATCTTTCAAATGCTAAATACGAATCTGGCCCCGAACCCGTTGATGGGTACTCTATTCTAGTCCTCATAGATTCGGAAATTGGCCTACTTCTCGGGGATGTGCGAGAAGAAACAGTGACAAAGAAGCTCAAAGCCAATCCCTCAATAGCTAAAGTCTCCCTAATCTCTCGGCGAGAACATTGTTCTGGAAATACCCTTTACACGACGAAGGCGCGGTTCTGCGACACAGGGTCTTGGCACGACATTTTGATCAAGTGCAGCGGAGAAAACGATGGATTGAAGTTTCCAGTATTGTCAGTCTGTATAGATAAGAAGACTGTGATTCGAGTGAAGAGGCTGCAATGGAATTTCAGGGGGAACCAGACGATCTTCGTCGATGGGTTGCTTGTGGATCTGCTATGGGATGTTCATGACTGGTTTTTCAATCCTGTTTCTGGGCTTGCGGTGTTCATGTTCAGAACTAGGAGTGGAATGGACAGCAGATTGTGGTTAGAAGAGAAGATGGCACGGAAGGAGAAAGATGGAGTGGAATTCTCCTTGTTGATCTATGCCTGTAAGAGCACATAATGGTAACTTCAAACTTGTAATCATCATTTACTTCTTTTTAACTCTTCAATTTCTCATTCTTTCTGATTTCTCTCGTCTGGCTTTTTTTCCTTGCCAAATCTCTCGTCTGGCTTTTTCCTGAGGCATACTTGTTCACTTTTACACAAATGATAGGATCAACGTAGTTTAGAGTGGCAAATATTAGATTTATCTCAAACCAGTGGGTTTTTTTTTTTTTTGTGGAGTCATGTTTGCCATGTTCTTCCTTGTAACCAGAATGGTACTGAACCAAAAAAAAAAAAAAGAGTTTCTTGCAACCGGGGAAGGATTTCGATCATGCAAGTATGTATTCATTGGTAAATGGTCAAATTGATGGATAGATTTAGATTAAGAAAAAAGAAAAGGGGAAGCGAACTTTTCGGGATTATATGACAGAGGATATCACCGAATATTTGGTAAAAGCGCAATAGGGGATCACTTTGATTGGCATGACTAATTGCTTTTAACCTTTTTAGGAAAATAAGTTTGAGAATCCCATGAATGATCATTATTTCTCGGACTTAGACACACAGTATTATTATCGGATGGTCTCGTTTTCGTTTTCTTTTTCCATGGACTTTTAAACCAAAATCAATATTAACCGATTTTTTTTTTACTAAGTTGAATAATGTATAAATTTGACTGGTAATGCTAATTATCATAAAATATATAAAAAATTTAATCACATAATATTAAGTTAAAGGTTTTAAGAGTATTGTGTGTTTTTTAATATATAGTTTATTGACTCCTATATTTTATGTACCTCCGGTTTTTCATATAAAATCTAGTTGATTAATTTAGAGAGATTAAAAAAATTAGTTAAGTTAGTTATTTGTTATGAATAAGTATTGTCTTTTTTAGAATATCCTTACTAGCCATATATATTAGTTAGAATTATCATTTGATGAAACCTTTCACATATAACTATTACAAAAACTATTTAAAATAAATAAATAAATATGAAAGATAAAGTATATTAGGATCTTATATTTAGGACCAAATTGAAAATCAAGTAAACTCTTATATTACATTAAGGTGGTAAACAAATCCAGAGTTTCACTTTCAAGTAATCATGAATGAGTGGAACTTGGCTTTT